AAGAGATCCAGCAGGCAGTGTCGTTTGGATTTTTCGAGAATAGTGGACTACCCCAAGCGACCTGGAACACCTGTCTTATCTTCTCTTACGGTTGAAAAAACGATACGGTGGCATTCCTGTTGTAAAGGTCTCTCCTGTCGGCCCTCTGCCACCGACGCATGGATTGTAGTTCTCAAGTTTGGTCTTGCATACTCCATATAGACTTCGTGGATTGCGACCTGATATTGCCGGCACAAGTGCGAGCTCTCCGAGAAATAGCGAGCTCGAGACGAGTCGCAGGTGTACGAAGTCTGGGTCGGCACAGCGAGGCCACGTCTGACTTCCTTCCTGGGTTTCGGATCCCCAGAGCAGCAGGTTACTTTCACGTCGGCTGATGACGTACCCTTAAGCCGTGCAATATTACGGGGGCAGCCGCAGGCGCCTTCGAATATGTGTTGAACTTCACTGTGTGAGTCATCCTACTATTTCAAGTCAACCACCGCCAGGCTCTTGCTGCAACAGACTGTGACTCAGCTTTGCCGGCCAGGTGTACTGCGCACGCTAAGGCAAGAGAGACGGTTAGCAGCGGGCATTGGATGTCAGCAAATAATAACTCAAGAAATTCCTACCTAAGGATCTGCGGCAGAAGATGCTCTGACTCCACTCCTGGCACGCCACCTAGTTCGAGTCCCCGACTACGCAACACTTCTCAGAAATGAGAAGAGGACGCATAGGAAAATAGTTTGGAAAATCGGAAGGAACCTTGGTCAGTATGGTAACAATTCCCCAGCGCCTCCTTGGCCCTGGTGCCCAGAAGTAAAAAAAAAAAGCGTTGGATTGTCTCTCTGGGGGGGGGGGGGGGGGGAGGGAGTATTTCTCAGGAAATGTAACGAAATACATTTCACCCTGATTGTATTGTAACACAAAGGAGCATTCCAAATGTATTCCGGTACAGGAATACAGATACTGGCAAAAAATATGTATCGCGATACAGAAATACAGATACGAAATGTATTTCTGAAATACTATCGCGATACATTTGTATCGCAATACTGCCCAACTCTGGAAGATTACAATCGTCTACGGCCGTACCTGATGACACTAGCTTCCAGAAAATACAACTAATGAAGGTACCAACACGGGAATGTAAAGAAGCATATCGACACCTTGATTAGCAATGTGCTGCATCGGACAGAACAGATGAACTCGCGAGTTTACAACTCACTCTTTGGTTTTCGTGGGAACCCAACCTTTAGTGAACTTCGCGGACTAGAAAAGTATAGTGTAATGACGTAGATAATTTATATAAACAAGTAGTATCATCTCGGCCTCTTTTTTTTTTTTTTAATTCAGTATTCGAGGATATCTTGACAGGCCGAGTAGTAAATTCCTTAGATTATCAGCCCTCCTAAAGCACTCATAAGCAGCATTTCGCGATATTTGCCCTAAAAATAAATTATTCTTATGTGAACATTTGCTTACTCAAGACATTATGTAAGTGACTGACCCGTCAAATTAAATCTGACATTTGTCATCCGTAAAATTGGCGAAATAAAATTAAAGGGCGCAGGAGAAACACCTCGGAAAGTTTGGCTGAATTTTAGCGCTAGGCACCACTTCACGGGTCTGTGTGAACAAACATTTACTTGTTTGAGCAGATTCGCTTTGTAAATTTCGGCGTCGCCAGCCACCAAAATTAAACCTCTATCAACCATCGACAGTCCTGGACTCGGGTGATTGTTATGCAGACGCTGTTTTTCCCGGCGCTAAATGTTGCGAACCCCAGATATTAACAAACAACGCACGCAAAAAAAAAAAAAAAAAAAAAAAAACGTTGTTGTTATTGCGCATGCGCCGCACCGCTTTTGCGTTTGGATTTCGAAATAGAAACGACGTTATTTTTTTTGTTCACGCGATTCTAAAACTCGCTACTGTTAAGTTGTGTGTGGCAGTTACACGGGAAGTCCCAACCTTTGTGTTAAAATAAATTGAGTAAATTGATCTGGTTATCTAAAGATAATTAATAAATCACTTAAATGACTGTCGAAATGGGAGCGAGCATGGTATAAATTTCTTAAACTTCACAAGTAAACCGACGAAACGAATGTTTACACTGCAAAAAAAGATTGAGAACCTCATACACATGTATGTGTGATATTATGAACAAACAAATCGCCTGAAGTTGACGTGCCCATATTTTTAGCCTTAGATAAAATACAAGTTAAACGTTCGTTGTCTTTCCTCCACGAGTTTCCTCACATAATCAACATCAATTGTTTTTTTTTATATATTATGAATAAAAATGATACTTTCAATAAATACAGATAGCCTTCTTGCGTTGACTATTTTTGACGCCTTCCGATTTTAAAAGCGCGATATAGACATTTTCCACAGGGGCGCCGCCATCTTGAATTGTCGTCACTTCCAGTATGGGCGACGAAAAAAAAGTAAAACGTTTCAACCTGTAACCAGTAAAAAAATAGAGTGGAGCCAAAACGATACTGTGTGACGGTTAGGCTTATATCCTAAATGTCTTCTACAGGCGTGGTGAGGGCAAAGTAATGTTTTCGCCCATACTGGAAGTGACGACAATTCAAGATGGCGGCTCAGTCGTCATCAGGACCTTTGAACCCCCGTGATGTCTTAGTCGTTGAGTAGACGTATCAGACTACAGTTGCCGAAGTAAAAATTCGTGAAGCTATCATGATATAGGATGGTCCAGAAATAAGCCAGTTAGCTGGGTTTGAGACGTCCCTTTTTGTGTCCGATCCTTCTACTAAAAAGTTTCCAAGTTCTTCGACCACAGTCTCGGGTGTTATATGACATAATTATCATCATCATCACCACCACCCGAACGGATTCCCTACGAGCGGTTTTCCCTACGCTGGCGTTCTCCCCAGATCTAGGCACGGGCTCGCCCATTGCGAGCGTGCTCCAAAATGCAATCCCGTCATGCCCCGCTCAGGCGAGGAGCGAGAGCAGACGTCAAGGGGTCGTCTGCTACGATGTTCGTACAGGGGAACCGAAAAAAAAAAAAAGTAGGTTTTATTATAGAAATCGTGTCCCGGGGGCAACGCAATCAAACGCGAGTTTAAATTGTGAGTGTCTGTTATTTCGTAAAGGAAACAATTGACAACCCGTGCTTTATTTACAAGTTTTTAGTCGCTCTGTTGCCGTACAGACTCTGAAATATACCAGCCAGTGTGTGAAGAAATGCTCAGAACAAACGCATCAGTGGCCCCCAGATCTTTATCAACGACCGTGTGCGGTGGAAAAATTCACCATTTGTCGACAAAGATTCCCCAGCAGAAACCTGTCTTCTGCCCAATAAGCATCCGAGAAAGCTAAACATAGTGACTTTACCCGAAGCTTGGGCAACATCGTCATGTTACCACTTACCTACGTCAGCTATCTTGCCCCTTCGTATTTTGTTTGAGAAAGCTCTCGCTCTCGACGCCCTCACCAAGGCTAAAATCTGATTCACCTGTAACGACGATCGAAATCGAAAGTCCCACGAAACTTTTGCTAGATAATAGGGAGTTTTCGTAGACCGCGCTGCCCCCTCCGCTAAGCGTTCCGCAACGGAGAAGTTGCTACTGCGCCTGCGCGCCGATAGCCTTGACTGTGGAGTTCCCGCTATCGTAGCGGGTCGCGGAGGGCCTTGCGGGACGGCGAAAACGATCTACGAAAACTCCCTATTGCAACCAGCGGCGTCACGAGGGGGGTGCGGGGGGTGGACCCGCCCCGGGTGCAGCACTCCAGGGAGGTGTTGCGGCGGGCCACGAGACCGGGGGGTGGCGGAGAGGGGGTTGGGCAACGAGCGGGAATTGGGTGCCGCCGCGGGCCATTTCCTTGCGTGCCACTGACCCTAGTGACGCCACTAATTACAACCGACTAGTTTTAAGCAGTGCCCTAATTCAGTGGTTAACGCATAATGCCGTGCACAAACGGCTATAAAACTGAATATTTGGCAGTATTAAGATTTGGCTATTGAACTTATATTAATTTAATGTATGATGTATTATATGTGCTTGATGTATTATATGTATGATGTATTGTATATGCATGTTGATGCTCGCTGCATACCAAGAGGGGGTTAAGGCCTTGTCAGGCACGCGTGCCTTTAGCCTTAGAACCCCTCTGCGGAAGATGTATCCGCAGGCACACACACACACACACACACACACACACACACACACACACACACACACACACACGCACAAAAAAAAAGAGCTTCTGCGCGGACAGCATCATCAATTTTCTCCAGTGTAAACCCCAGCTCTTTTGTAGTCAGTTGGTAGCGGAAATTTATGCTATCTGTAAAGATCTCTACAACATCCAAAATGCTTAAAATCATCGCTAAAAACAAAACAAAACAAAAAACTACAGGTTGTAGGTACCAATGTTTATAGATAAACGTTCGTAGCGGCTGCACTCTCGCATTCCCACCCATCACGTCGACCAGAAAGGCGCTAGTTTCGGTTCGAGGTCGGTGCTCTTTCTACAACATAGATGGCGGCAGCATCAGTCTTCTGCACTCGGTGCATTTGGAAAGTTCGTTCGAGGGCAAGGCAGGCAAGGTTCAAGGCGTTCAAGGCGAGTTCTCCGTGCGACACTCCGCGAGTGTCAACGTTGGCGAGCCTCGCACTATCTTAGAGCTCCGTCAGCCACCAGCTTCCCATTTAAAATTTCTAAAAATTACTTATAACTCTCCACTAAGACAACGGTTCTGGTTCGGATCAGAAACGCTACATTTGGGCGAAGAACGAGAACTCGGCGACGCGTCAAGACGCTTTGGTTTCGTATTAGAAACGAAACCAAAACAACAGATTGTCAGCGTTGCCCGCACGACTTTCGATGCTGCATTTTTAACAATATTTCGATATTATGCAATACAGTTCGCAATCAAAATCGCGAACGTTTACAAAAACATAACAGTAATATATTTTTGTACAGTTTATGTTTTTAATTGCAACTGTACTTGGTTTGCTTTTTAACGTTTTCCGAATTCTCATCCGAGTAAACATCAGTAAATATGGCCGCCCTTTCGTGTTATTGTGCGGCGGGTTATTTCGTTGACTTTGTTAGGTGAACATGCGGCAGGACGCAGCACGAGGTAAGCATGCGACCACATCCCAAGATTTGTCCTTTTGCATGTCGCGCTGCTACCTAGAAACCAGGGACAGTCTTGCTGCAACCATCTCGGGTTTCGTGCAAATGGCGCGTCAAGTGTCGTGTATTTTTGCTTCTCGTTGCGTGTTTTCACAGCTCAGTCGGCTCAGTGGTCAGTCCAGCTAGAAATTCCTCGTGTGCGTCAGATCCAACACGGTCGATACGTGCTTTCGTTTATTCATTGCTTCCCATCGGTGACGTGATTCCGATGCCCAGGTTCCCCGTCAAGGGTTGTGCGCGAAAGCACCCGATGTCAAAATCCCCGTCTGAATCCCCCGTGTCAGGTGGCCGGGTTTTCAACGTGACGGCGGTGCAGTCTGCTTTTTAAGTAAAAGCCGGTAAGTACGCATGCGATCTTGTGTAACGTAATCATGACGTGCCTGGGACTCGAGGAATAACTGGGTAAAGCTTTCCGTTCTTCAGTCGTGCGTTATACTCATTCACGTCTTGCGACGTTAAAAGGGAAGAGTAAAGATATACGCACTTCGTCGTGCATCTTGACAAGAAATGGCTATGTGCACGACGCGAAACTCCTATAAAACGAATGGTTGCAACGAGCTTCCAAAGCGGTGGCGTAGCTTAGTGGTCAGGTGTCTGCTTCGTGCGCAGCGGACCCGGTTCAAAACCCAACGTGGGCATACTTTTTTTTTTTTTCTAGAACATTTGTTTTTGTTTAGCATTTGGCGATATTTACGACATTTCTTTTTTTGCGATTAACACTGAAAAAAAAAAAAAAGAATGTTGTCGATGAAACTTTGCTAAACTAAATGGTATGGGACTCCGAAATAACAGTGAGAGTGCAGGCGAGCTGGTGTAGTATTACCATTTCTTTAAACTACCCGAGACTGGTGCCAGCAAGCTATGATGCATCAAAATGTATAGCCATTTCCAGTCTAGGTGCACGACGTAGTGCATATAGCTTTACTCAAAAGGGAAGATGAACATAAATTGGGTGTAACTGGCAAAACATTAAAGCAACAGCTTTTATCAATAAGCATTCAACCAAGGCCTTCGTCGCCTTTGAAGCACGTGCGGATGTACAGTTCCGACGAAATGGGTTCTTTCAAGACTTAACCTGCAGCTCATGGTGCCATACTTATCACAGCACCAAACACCAGTTCCATTAAAAGATTTGTTGTATCCGTAGAGTAACTACTGGCGACTCCAGCGAAATCGACGCCGCGTAGCGGCAACGCCGAGAAACTCATGACAGGAGGTCGTTTCGACTCCGTCGTCTGCTATCACTGCCTGATTCTCGTAGGCAGCAAAGAAACAAACATTGTTTCCAATAATTATTTTGACACTTCCACCATGTCATTCCTACGCACTGACTAAAAAATGATTTGTACCGTCGAAAAATCGCTTTGCTTTCATATGTAATAACCAATTTTACGCTGCAGTGCAAGATATTTATAATTGTATGCATGCTGAACGACAAAAACAACCTCTTTTCGTCTGCCATTTTGCCTGACCAGCATGCCTCCTATGCACAAACTCAACTCCGTTACATCACGCCGCGGTGGAGGCGCGTCAAGCGCACTTCCGGTCTGGGGTGGTGGGTGGAAGTCACCGTGCGAGACATTCATTCCTGTTTCCTTTTAGGAGATACCAGACAAAAGCCTGCCTTCTCATCAAAACGCCGCAACCGGGGCTGTACCAAAAGAGTCGAAAAAGGTTTGAAGATAATTTTTTATGTGTTTTCTGCCTTCTCCATTTGTCTGAGAACATGGATAGTACTTGTGAACAGGGCAAACCAGACGGTGTCGAACTACGATTGCTTGTGTGGGAAACACTTTGGGTTGAATTCAGGGATGCTTGTGGCCATCAGATTTATTTGTTTTGTTCTAACATGAACGAGGGAAAACCTCCAAGTTGTCCCGACCGCCCGTGGGTTCACTGCGTCTTCAAGTTCAAACGGCCTCCTGATCGTTCGAACTTTCGTCTGCTCTTTCACACTTGTCCGCTTTTTGTTGTCTGCTTGTTCAAACAGCAGCGGCCCATAGACCAAATATGGACCCGATAATTGCAATAAGATGTAAGTGCAGGCCTCAAAAGTCTTTTAAGTTTGAAGGTTAATTGGGGTAAGTAGGCTCAGTGTAAACATTAGATACAAGGAGATGTTGATCATTGTTACCAGTGGCCATCACCGACTTGTAATGCCCGATTCTGCTTGCGGTTTTCAGCATCGACGTCGACCATCTCGGCTATGGTCAAGACTTTTGCAGCCCGAGCGATGTCGCGACTGAAAATAGCAATTAGAATCTCATCGTGCGTGTCAGGCTTTAGCGCCTATTCTTCGGCGTCCACGTGAAATGATTCGCCGCATGTCACATTATTCACATTATTCAGAAGCATTGTTATGAAGACTTAGAATGAACAATTTCAACGCGAAAAAGAGCACGGAGACTCACACCGGCGCCGACAACATCGCCTTCCAATGGTTTGTTTATGGGTGACGGCGAGCTTCTTGCCCACACTCCATCGCGCATGCGCGGCGCCGGTGGCGTCTGCGGGGGGCACTCCGGTTTGTTTTGTAAACATGAGTTGGTCGGTAGTTTGCTGGAGTCGCGAATAATCCTTGGGCCTTAGAGTGGGACGCATATCGGGGAGGGAGGGAGGAGGAGGACGGGGATGTGGATTATTGTGTTGCGAGACTTGAAAAGTTTAAATTTAGGTAACAAATCACACCTTCTATAGTTTCGTATACTTTGGGCACATTTCTTTTTCATGCAATTTGCATTTGCATGCACATCTAATACATTTGATTGGAGTTTGTTTTTAGTATTAATGTATTTATTTTCATGTACTATGTCCATAGCACTCTTCACATGTCATAGGCATAGTAACCTTCAGCATCTTCTCTGCCGAGCATATCTTGTTCCTTGATCGGAGAAAGCACCCTCTCACTAGTGCGATCCTTTCGTTTAACCGCAAAATTTATCTATTTGTGGTTTGGGAGAGCTGAAGCGGGAAAAAACGTTGTCCCACAAGCGTGCTGATGGGACAGCGGGACCACTGCCAGAAAAGCTGGACCTGTCCCGCCTAAATTGGGACGTCTGGTCACTTTATGTATAGATATAGATAGATAAAGTCTAAAAGTCTATTATTCGCATGATGCATCTTGTTGGCGAATCTTGTGCCCCGAAACTAGGTTTCGGGAGACAAATGACCCTTGTGAACGCGACTAAAAAAGTGGTGCACCTCACAAAAAGGTTGCGTGTACCCCTTGCTTCTGGAGCAATTTTTTGCTGAAACCTCATTGAGGCATGTCAAACGCCTGAAGGAGAAATGCGGACGCTGCCAAAGGCCGCCCGACTTCGCTTTGACGTCTGACCTTCGAGGCCGAGCAAGCTTTCGAAAGAGTGATTTTTGGCTGATTCCGTATCTGAGCCAAAGCCGAAAAGAGAAAAGCAAACATGATGGCGAGCGCCAAGCAGAGAAGCGGTGTGTACGGCGGGGTTGGTGCATTGCTGGCATGGTGCAGGTCCATCAACAGTCACGGCGAGTGCAAGCACTCCATATAAACATGATGACTGGGGATAACTTTTGTTCAGCTGGGTAAAAATGTGCGCAATGCTTCGAGATCATCCGCCTGTCCACGGTCTTTCCCGGGTTTGGCAAGCCTAGTAAACCAGGTGAGCAGAATCTGACGGAAGTTGATGGAGTGGTAATAATGAAGCAGACTGCCTCTTCACACTGCATATTTCATATAATTTTGATGCGAAATGCTTTCATATAATTTTGATGCGAAATGCTTGATATTCTTATTGCAGATGACAAGGTTTGGCGAAAGTCTCGTGAGTCAATACGTCACAGTTTTCGCGCGTCAAATTCGACACGTGAAGAGGCCGATTTTGCAAAATCTCGGCTGCGCTAAATTGTGGCGCGTTGAAAAGATGCATTGTGTGAATAAGCCGTAATTCTGTGTTTGAGCTTCCTCTATGACGGGCGAGTGCATTGCTGGTAATGCAGATATATGCAGTTAACCCTATTTGGTTGCTTTCACTGAAAAGACCCTTTGTAGACCTGCAACGTATGGGGATAAGACATGGAAGATTACTGGTTGGAGCGCAAAGAGAACTATGGGTTGGACGCAGTAAGGACGGGGCTTTTCGCAGACGTGGAATCTCGGATGGGGTAACTGAATTCGAGGTTTTCAAAACGTGCGGCTAGTGACTCGGGACTTTTGCGACAGAATTTTGCATGCAAGCCAATTCTGCTACAATCCTGCTACCCCCCCCCCCCCCCCAATTAAGACCACCTCACATCTAGCTGCACAAGATCGAAACCGAAAACACCCGCAACATCAACCCTTCACCTTCACACCCACAAGCTCCACTCGAACAGTAATCACCATTTTGCTTCCATTTGTACAGCTGAGACCCTACAATGGAGTTTGCCCTGGCAGGTTGCTCCATCAGTGCGCAACTTTTGCAACGATGGGTAATCCGTTTCGTCATTTGTGCCTTGAAGATGCTACGCTTCTGTTGGCAGAGTGTGCAGCACAAAAATACAAGCATCTTTTTTTTTGCAGTCTGCGTTTAGAACTATGTTGTGTCTCATTCTAATGTGTAAAAGAGCAAAGGCTTAAAAGCATGAGGTCCTTGCTTTTTGTACATGGAGTGTGTGGGGGGGGGAAAGGGTCCGGGCAGGCACATGGTAATAAATGTTTGGAGATAAAATGCTGAATTTTTTTACCTATTTGATCTATATCCTTAGCTCTTGCGATCACTTAATTGATACTGTCTTTCAGTGATTGACTTGTTTCGTTGTAGCGCTCAGTCAAAACCATCAAAACTGCATTTGTGGCTCTTTTTGTTTTTAATAAGAGAACACCAGAGGTCGGCAAAGGAAATGAGTCAAGTAGGTAAATGTTTGCCTTTAATCTATTAAAGATGCCAAAATAGCGTTCTTACTCGGATTCACTGTTTTTGTGGCGCTTGATATTGTTATTTCGTGAAGAGTTCCAGAGTGTTATTTGCAGAGTTGCTACTTGTTGTTTGACCAATGCTGTCAATCAATTTGTTAAACTATTCAAATGACTTAGTGTAGTTGTAAGCCGAGACATTTTAACGGTATATTATGCATACTTATCTAAGTGGTGCGTAAAATATGTAGTTCAAGTACCGTCAAACATCTAAACAACACTTCTGTTAAAAAGTATGTATGTATGTATCTTAAATGCTTTTTAAATACACAGCCAACCCCTGATCTCCGGTCTTACATTCTCCTAAGGCAAAAGGTTCCACACCATTGTAATTTGCTCATAACATATAATATTGCAATGCGCCAACTTGGCAATCAGTAATGTTTTATTAGCTTCTACTTCTGTTGAAACAAATCAGCATTTGCATACCTTAAACAAGCCATATATTGCTGTGACTAGATCTTTTGAATCGAAAACGCAAAAAAGTTGGTCATGTAAATGTATTATTCAAATAGAAAATATTGACAAATTTATTCTAAATCACAAGATATATTACCGTAAGATATTAAAAAATGCGACATATTGGCCAATTTGTGAAATATGAAGCCATAGAATTATGCTTGACTACTGTTTCAACAGCGTTAATGTAGTTTTTCACGTTTAGAAGTTAGCAACGAGCAAGAGGGCAGAAGCAGATGACACGACGGCGACTGCCCATCGTTGCGCTTATTTGCCGATCGAGACGCTGACTATCGTCCGACTGCGGCACCTCTTAGACATGTGCTCAGGGGTTATACCATTAGATCATCATTAGATGCGGTGTCGAAGGCCTTCAATGGTATGGGCAGCTTGCCTTTCTGCAACACCACGGCTCTCCTGAGCTAAAACAAATATCTTTTCATCGCTGATTCTATATTGCAGCGTGAAATGGTGGTTCTGAAAGAATATGATTGCTGTGCATGTGGTCATGTGGAGGAGCACCTTTGTGTAGCGGTAGAACCAAGCCTACTGACGTGCACTCTCAGCTCTGGCACGCTCCCTAGCGATCATGGTACAAAGACATATTTGATCAAGGCCTGGTGTTTTCTCTGTAGCTTTGGCTCTTTTACTGCTGCAAGAGGAAGCGAGGTATTGGAGGTTTTGAGCTCTTAGCTTTCTCAAAACTGCTAACAAAATGCACACTACCAGACAAGCCAGTCTCGTATTTGGCATTCAAAGACACTAAAACTCAAAAACCTTTTTTGTGAAGTTTTCGCGATAAGATGCCTATGCCATAAAATGATATTTTCTCTGAGAAAAGATTTCTAACACAGTCCTTACGTCACAAGGCTCATTTTGCGTTTGGATTGTTTCGGAAATGGTCTACTATTTTGACATGTCAAGCTCCCGAGAAGAAGTGCGTTTCAAATTCGCTTCCAACTCAAAATGAATCTCGCAACTTAAATATTGCGCTAAATGTTTTTTTATTATTTGACGTACGTGTCTTATCCACATACTTAAAAAAATTATTTTCTGGGAGGAGTTAGTGTCTCTACGCAGTCATTGGTGCTCGTTATATTGTACACTGTTGGCGAAACACGTTGCAACATTCGCCCATGCCCGCTCACCTCCTGTTCCGCCTAATGTGTCAACTGGTTTTTGCAGGTCTCCTCCAAGTCGCAAAGACTAGGAAGATAACATCCGGTGCTGCCTTAGAGTGGAGGCCCTGGACCAAGCAGCCATACTGAGGTGCTGTGAGTGGCTGTGC